CTGTAAAATGACTAATTTTCACTGGGTTTAAATTTCACTGATTTACCATTTCAGGCATATTCAGTGGGTTTTAAATTCACGGTTTTATCATTTAGATAATGTGTTCTATGCTAAATTTTACATATTCACTGTGTTTTAATTTAGCGCATTTTTCCAGTCAGCGAAATAAGCTAAATTAAAACCCAGTGAATAATTACCCCCTTTACAGTATGGGATCTGTGGCAAATTGACTTGCATTTTTCATATAAAAATAGACAGAAGAAAAAAACACCTGGCAAGAAATTGTTTTTAAAACATAATCATTGCGTCTCCTTAGCCCTAGTAATTGCTGTAATGATAGGTTTACTTTAAAGTCATAAAATGCGTGGGAATCTCCCATTGTTGGTTGTCTAGCGCTCGTTAGCGTTATTTTAAACCTCTGGTCATATAATCTTCGAAGCTATTGACAAGCTTGATCAGCTGAGGGAATCCAGGCTGTCTCGTCGTCACTCGTAATTTATCACGGAGCTATTAACACCGGGGTGTCGTATTTATCAGTTTGACGTCGTGCGACGATGTCCAACATGGTGCACACTATTCTGTCACGAACATCGTGTAGTTGGTAATAGTGTAAATGTGTACGTTCATTTAAATGGGTACATGCCGCACCACGTAATGACGTGTATATTGTGGTCGCCAGGTGCAAGCGACATGCCCCACACAGCAAATATCTAAGGATGGCCTTTGACCCCGACTTGGACCACGTTAGGTTTCTTCTACTTTAGTAGAAATCACACTTGACTATAACAGCTAATGCATCTCAATTTACGTGAGTGCGATTTATAATTTCTTGAGGGTTTCTGGGATATGACTCTTTTGTATCGGAATGAGAACCCACCCATGTAGGGGTTGGTTCACATATTTTGGTTGGTCTAATTTGTTGATCTCGGTCAATCTAGATGTGGTGGTTATTTTAAACACGTCAATCGTAAAACACAATTTTGCATTTTTTGAGATGTGTTGTTCAATTTGCATAGACAACAAAACTTTAAGCTGCGGTTATATCGTGATATGACGTCACATACTTAGCCGATTATGCGCTATTATGTTGTAGAGAGAGGGGAGGGGATTAAATAGGTGGTTAGAGGGGAAAACGACAACAATCTAACAGGTGGTTCTGAATCTTCAAGGATATTCAGAAAACTCCTAGACGCTTTTTTTTTCATATCGACCTGACCTATGTAGTTTCTGTAAATAAACGGTTTCTCTCTTCTATCTGAACTGACCAACTCATCCATGATTCAAGTTTGTAATATTTGACGTACACAAGGATTGTTATGCAACAAAAGTTACAGCAATTTCTCACCGTGTGATAGTTGACGTACACATGGATTGTTATGCAACAAAAGTTACAGCAATTTCTCACCGTGTGATAGTTGCGTTTACAACACAGATCGAAAGTCAACTGTATTATATGTTTGATTTCAGAATCGGTAAATTACAATAGCGATAGAGCTATAATGTTTATAATAAGCACAGCGAAATAATGTGAACGGCTTTCATCGTCGTATTTTTAAATTCAGTCGTTTAAATTACAATGATCCACTGCGTAGTTTGTCTTGAGTAATTAACAGTAACACACTCACACACACAGCGGCTGCACCTGTGTTTTAGACGGTGATTACATACATGCATATTGACCTCGCTTTTTGTAGAAACTTTAAAAGCGGCTTCAAAATCGCAACAATTGTTGTCAATCGATCGATCTCTCATCGCGTCTGTCACACGCGAGTTTAAACGTTTTGCACTTTTGAAACGCCGATGAGAAGCTACTGCGTCAAATGATTTAACACATATAGTCCTCGACGTCAGACCGCCATTATTACAAGAGAGGGTAGCGTGCAGCTTTCAAGATTTCCTCTCGACATCAGAAGAATGAACGACGAAATGTGGCTGTCAGGAAGTTTCTAATTGAAGAGAACGGGTTGAGTTTGAATATTCCGTTACAACAATCACTCATATAGACACTATAGGTGCTCCAGAAGTGAATGGGCGCAACAATTGGTGCCAGATACCCCGGACAAAGAGCACAGGCAATGATGCCCTCCCTGGGCAGTGCGAGTAAGATGTACAGGTGTGGGGAGAGGGGTCGACTCGTAACATTAATCGATATCACGTGGTTGAGATAGAAGCACTGCTCAGAAAGTGTAATGTGTTTACTGTTACATGTTGTATGAAATTAAACCCGAAAGATCTACTCGTCAATGAACGCCTTCGAGCTGAAGAGGATGACACAGTTCCGTCTATCGATGTTATATAACAAATCCATAATCAAAATAAATTAGATATTGTCGAAATCGTTTGTATACATACACCATGTACAACGGGTGTGTACCTCGCCCCAGTCACGTTGCGTGAAATCTGACATTTCGATTAAATAATAATTTAATAGAAAATATTATAAAAAAGAAAATATTGATAAATAGAAATGTTACATATATTTATAGTTCAAATATTATAATTGTATATACAAAATCTTTGTCCAACTTGCTTCTTTTTGTTGTGGACAGTCAATCAGGAAGTGAATTCATCCTCAGCTCACTTCCCAAACTTTTCATCAGCTTTGTTTTTGGTCTTGCATACCGACATTTCCCAACATTGGGTCACTAATTTTCAGCTTACATAAATGTTTTCTTTAATTTGAGTCTTCCATTTTTCTTTACTTTGAAACATTATTTTTTTAAATACTGTAAATTCTTAATTTATTATTTTCTACGGATTCAGAGTTTTCTGAATTGATTTGATTTTTCCACAATGCTATTTATGTATGTGTTCTTTGTCCGAGCTTCCTTGCACCTGAACTTGTTGCCCATTGGCTACATGTTTGCGTTAAACGCATAAAACATGTTCGGTAAGACCTTGGTGTCAAGATATTGTGTAGATTTACAATAACTCACGAATATAATTGTATAGTAGTATCGCGAACAAAAAATAGATGCGCGAAAAACAGTCACAGTGCTTGATACCAGTCACAATAACAGGACATAGGTAAGCAGCTTCATGTGTACTTATTTTTACCTTTTACTAAAAGGTTTGCGAACATTTTTTATTAATACTGACTATTTGAAACGTAATTACACACTTATGTGCATGAATCTAGGTTTAGTTGCGCAATAAAATATATGCAACGTCGCGTAGTTTATATCTATCCCAGCTAATAAGCTAGTGCTGTTTGGCTCGGACTAGAATGCATCGCGGCCAATAGGAGAGCGCTGTGTAGCTCAGACTAGAAGGTATTTCAGCCAATAAGATAGCGCTATTTGGCTCAGACTAGAAAGCACTCCAGCCAATAAGATAGCGCTGTGTGGCTCAGACTAGAAGGTATTTCAGCCAATAAGATAGCGCTATTTGGGTCAGACTAGAAAGCATTTCAACCAATAAGATAGCGTTGTTTGGCTCAGACTAGAAAGCATTTCAGCCAATAAGATAGCGCTGTTTGGCTCAGACTAGAAGGCATTCCAGTCAATAAGACAGCGCTGTTTGGCTCAGACTAGAAGGTATTTCAGCCAATAAGATAGCGCTATTTGGGTCAGACTAGAAAGCATTTCAGCCAATAAGATAGCGCTGTTTGGCTCAGACTAGAAGGCATTCCAGCCAATAAGACAGCGCTGTGTAGCTCAGACTAGAAGGTATTTCAGCCAATAAGATAGCGCTATTTGGGTCAGACTAGAAAGCATTTCAGCCAATAAGATAGCGCTGTTTGGCTAAGACTAGAAGGCATTCCAGCCAATAAGATAGCGCTGTTTTTGGTCAGACTAGAAAGCATTTCAGCCAATAAGATAGCGCTGTTTGGGTCAGCCTAGAAACCATTTCAGCCAATAAGATAGCACTACTTGGCTCAGTCTAGAAGGCATTCCAGCCAATAAGATAGCGCTGTGTTGCTCGGCCGAGAAGGTATTCCAGCCAATAAGACAGCGCTGTGTAGCTCGGCCGAGAAGGCACTGGCATCAAAATACAAGTCAGTCGAAGCATATATACAAGACATATGTTGATACGTCATAAAATGTCAACAAACAAGTTGTTTTCTGATTGGTCTAACTGTTAGATATTAGGATTGGGTAGCCAATCAGACACAATGCAAGCTGCTCTCTGATTGGTCTAACTGTTAGATATTAGGATTGGGTAGCCAATGAGGCACAATCTTGTAAGTAACTTCGCAGTAGTGCATATTTTATGGAGGGAATCTGTATTTCACAATCAGACACACATGTTACACAATGAAATTGGTTCGACTTGACCTTACCTTATCTCGCAATATTGAAAGCGGCAAAACGAGGAGTTGTGCACTTGGAAACTCTGGTAGGAGCGTGCCAGTCTTTGAGCTGAGTGAGTACTTCCTACTAAAACCGCCCTTGTAGATTAAAAGAACAAAACGTATATCAATTATTGCAATAGTAATTATTAGGACTGTACAGAAAAGATTATATTTGATAGAGGTAAGCAAATAAACATTACTGTAAACACATTGATTATTCACTGGGTTTTAATTTTGCCATTTTCACCGATAAGTAAAGTCCACTATATTGATTCCGTGTGAACATGTGAAATAACAATAGAATTCACTGTTTTTGTGAGATTAATGAAATCACTTAAAAACAATAAAGTAGCGAAAATAAATGCCAGTAAAAATAAATAGTTTTACAGTATCCTGAAACAAAAAATCTTGTTCAAAACACGGCGACGGAAAACCTTTTTTTTCTTCACCGTCTCGCCTCTGTCAACCGCTCATTTAAAAAACCTGTCCAAAAATCTAAATATGTAGCAATATATTCTCCTAACTCACTTCCTTTATGTTAATCGTATATTATATATGGATTATTTTTCTAATATCTCTCAACGGTACTGTGTTGACTGTATTTGTTCACTGGTACATCACGTTGGCCATTTTGTTTCACTTATCAGTCTATTTCCATCACCAAATGCTAGATTCAGTTGCACACCACATATCATGAAATAAATGAGCGCAGAAACATAATGGATCACATGTCCACCCTAGTTTCCGACATTCATACTACTTGAACACTGCTTTGATGAAACTTGAAGCCCGTACTTGATTTGACGTGTAGCTTTTTTGTCAACGTTTACAATCACTCACCAAGCTAATCCCATCGTTTACTCTGCCCAAATGGAACATATTCAATTAAAAACAAGAGACATTTTCCTCTCATTTAAATCGTTTATCACTCGTTTTGACGTAAATATGCTCATTTAACGTGTTTTTTTTTTACAAACAATTTAAGTTGCACGATTTGGAAGGATTACGTAATAACTATAAACTTTGGCGACTGAGGATCAGAATAGAACCATTTGACTGAGTTGTGACTGTTAAGCATTTATTGAAATCTAGCAAAACAATAACAGAATAACGGTGTGATTTTAATATGGCAATGGCAAGTGGTACGTTACACTATATAGCGAACACCTTAGAGTACCATATCTGGGTGCCCTGATTATGTTGTGCGTTCGGGAAACGGGGAAAGGAAAGACGTTAAAAAAGACACACAGTCTGACACCTTTTTCGAAACGAATATATTCTGGTCCATACAGGTGATTTCAAACAGTATTTCCGAAATTGAACGTCTACTGCTGGCTATCTTCAAGCTTTTTACATAGAGAATAATCTACAAAACTGGTGTTTGAAGTTTGTATTGACAAGATAGCAAGGCTATGTTATTGTCCACATCGTACCACGGGGTCTTCCAGGGTTAATGTGTTTACAAAGTCACGAAGTACATTGCTACGCCCATCTTAATCTCCATCATTAAGTTTATTGGCCATAATTAGCAATTTGTACATATTCTCATTTATGATTTTACAGCCATATGATAAATGTCAACATACTTTACTAGATAGACACTAAATAAGTATGATGACCGACGGCCTGGAGCTGGCAGACATATTAAGTTGTGAATTTCGTCTTAAATAGATAAATAAGGGATCCATCGTAATGTGTCTATTAAAGAGGGTCACATACTAGATACACTTATCCAATGCCTCAAAACAAAGTTGCTAGTCAAACGTATACGCTTCCACTCAATTTTGATAACATTGGGAGAACATCGTATAGAACACAAATCTAGTCTTTGTGAGTGTGGGGAGTCCTGAACTCCTTATAGTCATTTTATGGCCCGAGCAATCAACAGAATTTAGACAGAATTGGGCGACGGAGGTTTGCACGAAAGACAAACTACGTATAATCTTAAAATCGTATTTCAGGGGAAAGGTTATTTATTAGTGACGTTAAACTGAGAAGAATACTGTCATGTTTTAGATGTTCAAGTCATTCACTGGCATTAGAGGGTGGCAGCATTCTAGGAATTGACACATTTTTTTAGAAAGCAATGCCTTCTAACTATTGTCATATACAAACCCATCTCTTAAAAAAGTGTTATTTCTTGGCATGTGTTTCAAATGTAACTATTAGTAACAAAGCTAGTTTTTTTTTTAAATACAGAAAGCTTTTTAAGTTTAGACAAGAGGATCTGAGCTTAGATTTATTGTAGAAGTTATGTACTAGTAATACGCAAAAGGAGCTGGTGGATGTGTGAGATTATCGTTCAATAACCAGAAGATTAAATTCGTCATCGATTTTTTGAGTGCACTGACATCAAAATGGGGTTTATTTCACAAAACAACAAACGGAATTGTTTACATAAACCAAAATAGACTTGCGAGAAAGCAAGAACGCTTTATACGAAAAACATCCAATTTCAATCGATTGGAAGTCGATGGCTTCAGACTATCTCGACTGATTGCAACACGAATTGTTCAACGATGTCAACTCGTATGACTCAAAATGATTTATTTTTCGACCAATCTGACAACTTCAGTGTGTACAGCTTGTACAGTTTGACCTGTGACCTTATCTACCAGGTACGGTTGAGCTGGAGTAAACACGGCGTGGTGTTCTCACCTCACTTTATCGCATTAGAACACCGCGGTTATTTATGTAACCGTTTTTAATTATTGCAAGCCTCTTAGCACTGCTCGTTTTCCAATAGTGTTAAATGACTAAGGTTAAATCAACTACTGCATCGCAGCCAGAACATCATGGAAATGGTAATAACGTTGGTTTTCGCACTGGGTGGGCCATTATTTCTAGTAGGGGTGGGCTGGAATCGTGGAAATAATTACAAAAAAAAGAATACGAAGTAATTCACATGAAAGCAGACTGGTGGCTTTCACGTGTGTTCACTAGAAACAGTGAATGCATATCACTAAACGAAAATAAATGAACTGTCCGCCATAACAATAATAGTTCACATATTTAAAAAAAACACAATTGTTCGACAACGCAGAAAATATTCCATCTGTTTTGAAAATGCAGGTATTCACGGAATATTTTTACAAATAAAATATTACGCAATCTAATTCGCACTTACTAACTACTGCTGTTTTACGAACAAAATTCAGTCATTTTTTTTTTCCGGGATCGGGTGTGGGCTTTGGTCATAATAATTTCCCGCCGAAATCACAGTCATGTACCACACTGACATTCGATAAATATTGCCACTATCTAATTCGGTCTGAACTAATAACGTAATTTAAAGATAACCGATTTTGTTGAATATTTAGCTCGTACTTCAAACACCTTAGTGACGACGGAGCCAACAAACAAAAGGGCCAACTCCGCAAGCTATGGCGTGATACACTGTGGAATGAAGTTAAAATTCAGCAACTTGTCGAAAAGTGCCAAAGAAAAAAACCTGATCCAACAAAGGCAGAAACACTTGAAACTGAACAACAATCAATCTTTCAACAATCTTGTCTCTTCATGGATAGAAACTATAAATTTTAGAAACAAGAAATGACGAAAACGTTGACTGGTGTATTGAGTAGCGACTAAACGACACGATGTCGTCGGTGCGCACACATTTCAACATGGCACGTTTGTCACCCACATACCTCATTCTTTAGTCTCGCTCCTGAAAACCTAAAAAAAAATAAAAATTCAATATAATTAGAGTTGAGAAAGACAGTGTGTATAAACAGGGGTCGTTTTAAACGATAAGTATCAAACAAGCCATGTCATTAGCAATTCCTGTCGATGAATATTAACGATAACGCATACATTAATATAATATGAATTAAAGAGATACTGATCAAGGACCGTTAATTGAGGTTTCGACAAATATCACATATCTAGGCTTAATAACACAGTACAAATATTTGAAAAGACAAAGACCTTCTTTACAGTGGTGCACATTAACCACACTCGCGGCGGGAGAAGAAAGGTGGTTTTATTTGATTAAACTTGACGAGGAAATCGCTGAGTAAATGCATGAACTTCACGTTTCGGTATAACACTGATAATTAACGTCATGGGACAAAACACGATGAGATGCTACAGACCGATATTAAATCGTGAATATTGATAAATATTTGTTTAATCTTAGGTACGGTACACAGTTCGGGACGAATTGTATTTTTCAATAAGAAATATGATTGAAAAGACCACGTGACACAGGTGTAGGTTTAGAATTGGGAAACAAAACAAACCCACCCAACAACAAAGCGCCCGGTCTAAATCAGCCCAATCAGGACGTAAACTTAACAGATCTCGAAACATCCGATACTGACCGGGCGTTTAAAACATGTTCAAGTTATTGAATTGTATTATATTGTTATTGTGTTGGACGGTCTGGTGGATTGGTATTTATCGAAACAACAGCAGATGTCAATAACTATCGGAGCCAAACTAACTTATCGAATCCGTCTCCCACTTATCCTGTAATTTATAGCAGTCTGGGGGATTAAACGAGAACACCTGATTTTTTATTTCATTTTTGAAATGTTGACTTGAAGCGCCATTCCATAATGATTTATATTGAACTCGTTTAGATGGAAGATTAACCTCGCCGTTCAACACAAATTCCGACTGACTGTGTCTGGCCAATAAGATTGTCGATATAACTGTCAGCAATGGGCGACGGTTCGCTGATGAACACGCTGATTTCATCCTTTATCGGACCAATCACGTTGTAATGTAACACATGTGACGGGTTGAACTAAATCGTTCAACTTAACCTATTAACACTACATGCTCTATTTCGTCTCGCGAGCGGCGATCAATACATTGAATATTCAAACCAACCCCACACGAAGAGTAAAGACGTTTACCCAGCCGTTTCCTGTAAACTATTACCGGTTATTGTCAATTTTATGTGGATCAATCCTCTGCTCAATAAAAGCAGGGTAAATAGGGGCGAATTCTATGTGAAGTGATGCACTAAGGCGGTGAAAGACAGGACAAGCACTGAATGATTGCCGACTACACAGTAACAAGCAACATAATCCATACCTTGTTAGTCCCTTGCCGCTGTAAACTGAATGATAATAGGCACTGGTTTCCTTTATTCCAATTCCATAATAATGATATCTGAAAATAAAATTAATTTGTTTTATTTCCTTCTTAACTTACTCAAAATCGGGGGTATTTTGTCCCCGTTCATATATACGAAGCAGACTGACGTGTTAATCACAGAATTTCAATTACGGCTGCGTGCTTGGTTCGTTTAATAGAAAGCCATGACAGGGTTTCTAGGGTCCAGGCAATTTTGCTAGCAACGCACAATTGGGACCTGAGGAGCTGTTGACCCGAAGCTTGTTAGCACTACCAAAAACTGTTGAAAAGCTCAGTCTAAAAAAACTGTAACTAGACAGGACTTGAGCTCCAAGGAAATATGGAATGTGTCTTACAGTATCTAGTTTTTTTTGTATCAAACTATTCTACTTCAAAACAAAACCCGGGACATATACTGGGGCGACGTCCTGCACGTATCATTGTGAATATCGCTATGACCATGAGCCGGACATTTACACGTGTAAACCAGCATGTATCAATGTCGTGTCACGGACGTACGTTCGTGCGAGGGGGCGTACGGTGGTGACGATGCCCGGCAGCCATACGATCGGTGTTGATCTAGGTATACATGCACATGTGCACGGCGGACGTTGTGGTGGTGCCCGGCAGCTCGTGCTTCATTGGCCATCATCGTTACATGGCGTACACACGGAGAGAGGTAGCACGGAAACTAGCAGAGACTGTTTTTAAGTAATAATCGAGAAACAAAGTCAACTACATCGTTAGTATAGACCACGAGAGGAGATATTAAATAGCTCGATCCAAATAGTAACAAAGGCGACGACCAACAGTTTATCACCGAGTAATGATGTTCGATTTCAGATTTAAACACTGCGAGGAGAAACCTAGAAACGATGCGGTGTTTGTGTAGCAGGTTATCGTCTCCTGAAGAGCGTCATAATTTTGAGATGGTGTCCTCCTTCATCAATCGGTATCCAAAACCTCTGTTGTTTTAATATCAACCTCCACAATATACTCGCATCATTATAATCGGCCAAAACATGAACTACAAGTTTCTCTCCCTGACAACCGATCCGGTCATTATTAGTTCATCTCACTTTTTTGAAACCGTTTGTTTTGTTTATAATCGCTAAATTGATTATTTTTCGGATAACTCTAGGTTATCTTCGACGCGCAACAACAGTGTTTATAAGAGCGTAATTTATCACAATACTCAGGTCTCAAGCTTCTTCCAATCGCTGAACCAATTACCGTCTCCGATACACTCGAAGAGTTATCATATATTTCCATGGGAACGGTGAGCGTATGGAGTATACAGTTGTCTTAAGCAGTCGTATAGCTTTGATTACTATTGACAACGCCCGATGGTTAACTGCAGAATAAACATCACATCCAACAAATAAGCGTAAATCAAAAGCATGGTGAAAATAAAGCTGGCAATTAGTAGTTGGAAATCAAAGAATTTGTAATTTACGTCCAGTCGGATGGCGACTGAGGCATTTTATCTCCGAGATAGAACTCTCTATAAAACATATTATAAAAACAGCCCACGCCCACCAGTAGATTGGAAGCTTCTTTGGAGGAGCTTTAGTACGAGTGTCCTTTTGACGTCACGGCTGCAGCTAAGGCATGGATGATCTCACATATTTGGAGTGCGTTTGAACGTGCAAATTGTTTGATTTTTTGTTGTTGTTGTTATTGTTGTTGTTTCATGCGACGGATCACTACTACATATCTGAGTTGAATTTGGTAAATACAAATTATTTTCACAGAAACTAAACGGTGGAGAAATGTGGTAAAACTACGCAAAACTAGGTATAATTATCGAGTGTTACAAACCTTTGCTGGTGTATTTATTACTACACTGATTTCGCAACTTTTAATTTATTAAACAGCGACTGGGGGCAGACATTTGTCACAGTGTTGCATAATATAAACCCCGGTCGATGGTACAAGAAGTAACACAAAACAACTTTTATGGATATTGGAAACCACACGATTACGTATCACGCCGCTTTCAAATCCTAACAATGGGGGGAACTGTATACTATAATACTGTATAATATGGCATATGTTGTGACAAGAAAAAAAAAGCCAACATATGTAGTAGTAGGTAGGTACGTTGAATCTAGGTAGTAAAACAATAAAATTGGTATTTCGCGAGAAGAGGTGCTTTTTTTTTAGAAGCAAGACGTCGTTAATTTTAGTTGTTGTGTCCACATCACACGAAACACAAACACAAATTATACACGCAAAAATTAGTCAGACGAAAAAGGAGCATGTAGTTTAAAAAAACAAGCACTTTTCTTGGGTAATAATTATACAATCCATTGCGTGTCATGTGTGATTGTTCTGAGGTTAAACAAATTAAACAGTGTAGACATATATAGTCAGGTAGGCGCTATCAAAGTTTCATGGCAGCCAAGAAGTCGCCACTCAACAGACTAAATATTTTATTTCGGAAAATAAATGTGTCAGTTATATCCAATTCGGCATAGCAGCTATGTCACAGCATGTCAGAATAGACTTACTTCGAATGACCCCTCGTGCCCAGTCGTCTTGTCGTCAGGTGAGGGAACTTCTGTCGGATTGTCTGCAAAGGAAGGAAAAAAGTACAGTGCTATCATCATAAAGTCGTTTTACATTCTAACTGGAGTGATAAATTACTACGTCTTAATCCGTAAGGTTACGCCGTGAAAAACAGGTGCGCTCCGTAATCGGGTTTTATTGTGAAATACCAACATGAGAAGAGACTTAATGGTGGATGATCGTTATTCTGAAAACGTTTAAACTGTCACTTTAAGTCAGTGCCACTTCACAACATTTGCGAAGTCGAATGCTGCTGCGTGGTCACTTTTTTTATGAATCGTGTGTAGACCCATGTGAGTAAAACACGCTTGATCAGATCGAACGTGTTTTAATGCCTTCGAAGGTTGCGCCTACTTCTGTTTTCATGCTGACGGTGATATTTCAAGCACCATCCCGTCTAAACAGATGCTACAAGTGATTAAAGTTGATTTGAGAGTAGAATTCGAGAACAAAGCAACATTTTGTGATAAATGTGCAGAGAACAAAATCGTATTTTGGTCATCATTTCGATTTTTTAATCGTATATTCCAAATAAGGTCAATATAATACCAAAACTAGTATGCGAACTATGAACGTGTCACAAACATTGACGATGATGATATCATCAGATATGCCGTAGTCTTCGTCGTCTCATGGTATTCAAATTAAATTTGACTGCAAAATTGAGTCGATCTATAGCTATTAAAAATCACACTGGGTGCAAACGCATATTCTAATCAACTCTGGCGACATAAATTCGAATAATAATAAACGATATTCAATATTTTCGTCATACAGTGGTCACAACGTTATGTAATCGATGTTGATTGGTAACACCATTAATTTAAAATATGAGTTTTATCCGATGAGGTGTACTCAAAAAAAAAACACGTCTTTTGGTTCATGGCGGGGCAGCGTTTTCATCAAATTCAAAGTTTTGAGATTCTGTACAATAGTGTGGTATCCCATATAGGTGGCGAGCATCCCAAACACAACGGATATATGTCACCCAAACCCGAAAACCTTGTTTCCATAGACGGTATTTGAAAACTCAATCTATGCTTTGTCGTTCGTGATCAAATTGCAGGCAAAATTCGGAGAAGTGCTTTCTATATTCTCCAACAAAATTAAATCGGAATATGTATAGTATTTGTTATTGGATATTGATGGGTGACAAATTCCTTATTGTACCCCATTCGACAATACTGATAGGAGTGAATGGCCTGAAGAGTATGAGCACCATTGAAAAATAATAACAATACGCCTTTTAAATCCAAAAATCGTTTAACTCTAAGACAGTTTTGTGAAAAACATATTTCCGCGTAAAACGCTTAAAAGTAAAATACGGCGATAATAACTTTAATGGCCTGAACATTTATCACCCGAAATTAACATCAGAGCCCGAAATAAATACGCACGGGTTCAGGGGTCAGTGTGTGCCAGTTGGTACCGCGTACGTGTCCTATTATTAACGCATTTATCGTGCACACTGGCGTCACGAGACGTGCATACAGGCTGCTGAGTGAGCTAAATCAGACACTCACCGCGAGTCTGAGTAGTTTTAAATTATAGCTCTGCTATCGACAGTGCCAAGGCTGCAAATTGCAGGTGTACACAGAGATTGATCGTACTGGACCTCAGTTGACCTTGGCAGGGAGACGGACTTCGAATTGAGTTTGCATCCTCGGATCACCTGATTGAGGGTTTGACCATAAGAAACTTTGCATGGGTCGATGCTATAAAAGCTGTCCAAATGTGTTTTTTTTTTTCATTTAAATTTGAGCTGTATTTTCAGGTTTATGCTTGAACAAATTTTGTTGTGTTTTTCCCCTTGTTTTTTTTTTTTTTTTTTTTTTTTTTGTATAAATTGTATATACGTGTCATTTTCCATTTTTCCCAGGTCGGATCGGTGAATATTCCGGCGATGTAAAAACAAAGTGAATGAGTACGTCATTTTTAATCATTTGCAAACATTTTTGTTCATTTATTATTAGTGGTTTCGGACTGTAGCTGTTCAGCTGCGATATGTATTTAATAAGGCCATGCCCGAAATATAAATATGGCGTGCATTAAAACTTGTATTGTGTCCGACCAAGTCGAGACGCGGGTGTTTCTACTCTTGTCTTCACTCACCGCTTCATGAAGCTTTCTGGATGACCCGGATGAAGTCTAATTACAATATCCCCTGTGAAATTAAATGTTAGGCGCGGAATGTAATTTCAGCAGTTAATTCTAGAAATGTTTCACGAGCTTTTTGTTGATTTAGTGACGAAAACAATCTGTAAATGAATAACTTGTAGTGATGGTAGTAGTAGTATTCTCTCGGTCGGCGTGCTGTCTACATAATTGTATTTTATAGTACATATGGAGAGGGATTTATAGATGATCGTGACCGTCATATCGAAATTTGGGGGTGTCAATCGTGATATCGTTTTATTGCCCAATCTATCAGTGTCACCCCTGTCAGAATGTACTCAAACGTGCTATATTACAACCTTGAATCCGGCAGTTCAATGATATGGTATTTTAGAATAAGTTCAGCCTTGAGTTGACGGAAATTACAATTTTTATCGAAAATAATTCAAATACAAACGCATGTACTTGTCGGGGTCAATTTTAAAGTGAAACACATACTAGTGACAGAAACATGAACCAAATTCTGTGAATATCACGTCCAAGTTCACATCTATGACTCGAAAACTAGTTTACAGTTGTGAATTGTCTTAAATTTTGTCATATTTACGACCTATCCATCATCTGTAGCTATATTGTAAGGTGATTTATTAACGGATAATCCGATGGTGTTTGTTTATACTAAACAATTTCGTCCACTTTTTTATTATTGTTTATTTTCACACTGATTAAGGATCTAACGCCCTGACGTTATGAGTTGACTATCACGTGTTTACTAAGGTGACAAGATCCAATTATGAAAACGCAAGAGGGGGAAGTACTCGATATTGAATTTGTTCACATTTTATAAACATCAACCATATTAACCGTAGACAATTTGTATTCATAAACAATAACAGGCGTGCATGATCTGCTCATAACTTGGATTGGAATTTAGTTGGATGTCCATTTATGTTTGTTTTCTAGTGAACACGGAGTACATGTATAATTTTTCCTAAACACTACACTACACTACACTACGCTACGCTACACTACACTACACTACACTACACTACACTACACTACACTACACTACACTACACTACACTACACACTACACACTACACACTACACTACACTACACTACACTACACTACACTACACTACACTACACTACACTACACTACACTACACTACACTACACTACACTACACTACACTACACTACACTACACTGCTCTGCTATGCACTGGGCTGGAAAATCATGAGATAGACGTATTTTAATCTTTTCTATACAAGTAGCCTTCTGAAGTCAAAATAAAGTTTTTACAAAAAGGTGTGACTGACCTCTGACCCTATTTACTTCATCGCATGATCCGTTGATCAACAGGTGGCTGATGTGAACGTATGTGTCAATTTCACAGACGTGTTATTTACCGCCTCTCAAATACTAAACACGCATTGTTTTACAAGTATCTATCTGTTTTTTACTCGTTCTTTCTGTTATTTTATTATCATCAAAATGAATACACGAGTAATGTATATTACGTCATTTCGAGGACATAGTCTTGAGTGGTCAAATTATGGTTTTCTCTTCAGTTTTTTACAGAGATTGGTTGAGTAACAATTCACTACTTGTGGGTTATGATGGGGATAACAATTGTCTTTCACAAATCCGAAGTTGAAATATAATCATGTATCTAAACACTGTGATTACAAAATTCAGCAACACTCCTGAGGAAGAGCTTTCAATAGAAAAAAAAAATGACCGACAGAATGAAAAACGAACTATCCAAATAATATACCCTTTGCGGGTTTCTGCGTGACGTGAAATAAAAATAACAAAGCAATCCGTTAAGTGTCCGTTTTATAACATCAAGTGTTTGCACGTAAACTTTCGACTTATATTAACGTTATCTGCTGGAAATGTACAATCGTTTTTCACATGAGCCGTTCACAGTGCTCGTCTTGTACGAAATCAGCTTCAAACTAGCTTCAGACTAATAATTCTAGTCTGAGAACGAGCCAACAGTGTTGCTGGTGTAATCTAACACCGTATCCTGTTCATATGAAGGAACCCGACAAATCCTATTCCGTGCCACTATTTTTTTTTCAAATAGAAAAACGACGAAAATGTTCACAGTCCTAATAGTTAATATCCAAGTTCTTTTTCGGAACAGCTTTTAAGATTTAAAACGAACTAGAAACATCTCGCGGTCACTACCATTTATTCATTTTAAACTAGTCTAGTATGTTCTTGTCCTGTTTGTGATAACAGGCGATGTTTAGATACCGAGTTGCAAGATATAGAGTTGTTGACATTTTGATTCGATCAGTCTGGTTACATAAACTACAAGGCAGTGAGATTGTGCCTTACAGAAATTTAACGGGTTTCGTTTGATCACAAACTTCAAACAATGGCTCAAGCCCCCCCCCCCCCCTCCTACCCCTCTCACCTAGAATTACATCTGGTGGCAGCTTGTATCGAATGCAATTCCCTGTATTTTAAAACTGTTATGCGTCGAATGGCGCCTGTGATTTCAAACAAACTATTACCATTTTGTGAGTAGATTTTTTAGCGAAAACTTTCATGATTTGACAAGGCGGACTAGTAAATGCACGCTGAGTACTCAGGCTCAACTGGTGCAACTTTCCCAATAGTATTAGTATTAGTAACCAGTGCGGTTAAATCAGTTCATTATTTTTTTTAAATATTGTGACAATACTTTTTTACATATACCAATTTTAGACTATAAAACACAACGACTCGTTCTACGTGTAAAACATACTGTTGTATGTTATTGTCTTCTACAGGAAGTCTAATTGCGGTGCCACGCCTGAATTAATTTAAGTAAGTGGAGCCGGTCCACATCGGGCCAGTAACAGGTAAACACAATGAGTTAACATATTGGCTCAAAACTCAAAACACAGTTAGCTTAAGAATTGTATATTCAAGACATAATTTTTAGTTTTACCTCAATTCTAGTGTATCCCAATACATAAACTGAAACAATACCGTAAGTTGCTATAATTATTTAAATTTGTTGAAAAACGTTTTGCAAGAAACATTTGTTATTTACGTCGCAGCCAGCCCACACTGTAAAATACGTCACATATTACGTTGTTATCAATTTGTCAAACTTTGTCGTTCAAATAAGGCTTTGTTCGCATGTTATCACGAGCGATCCCGGTGAGATTGTCTCCGGTTCCAGTTTCACCATATCACGCTGTACCAATCAGGACGACTACATACTAGTATTTTCACAGAAATTGAATTTAGAATGTCATTTAAATCAACCGTGGTGTATCATTCGATGATTAAAACGCTATATAAAAGCCGATAATTTAAAAAAAAAATATCACCGATGTTAACACCTGTCAGTTTCACACGTGGTAGAACTATCACAGTATTTTGATTAGTCCGCGCGTTGGCTTGACACAGGGTATATCGTGTTTTATTAAACTGAGAAAATAGTCACGTGTTCAAAACAATTACCGGGCACCCGGAATGATAAATGATAACGCACAGCGCATGGGGAGAATATGTTGGACGTAACACGTCTACGAGGAACAGTAAAATCCACAAATACAAATTAAAACGTACGAGTTTATGAATCGGGCCCATTTCATTTGACTCTCGTTCTGTTAGTTTTGTTGGTAATATTTTACACTTTATTTAAGCGCCGTAAATTACGTTGCAAACTATAAAACCTCTGCATTCCCAGTTTCGACTGGGTCACCAGGTCTAAGGGGTGTGATATCGTTATAATCCACTGTGGTTACAGCTGCATGGCTAGAGTTGACCTCAAAACAACCAGATTTATTTCTCTGATAACGAGATGTAATGAATCCAATGCCAACATCCAAATAAGTCTCCGATTTATCGCCATGTTTTATGCTTGTGATTAAAACAAATCTGGACCGAATATGATTTTAGAGTGCTTGAAATCTCGAAAGATTGAATAGAATGTGACAACGTTTGGAGTTCATCTCAGCCAGACACAATGTAAACTTGTTTACAACTGATGCCTAATTTTATAGCGGATTTTACATTGTGTGTTTTTTACGAACGGTTTCAAACGCGATTGTTCAAGTGAGTAAGAAAGAAGGCAATACAATAAAACCGTGGCAATTAAGTGAATTATTAGAATAGTTGGAGTTATGGCCAACATAAAAAACCATGCCGACAAATGAAGGGGGGATTTTCAATTGTTATGTTTATAATTTAAAGCTGGGTCCTCCTGTTTTTTCTGTAAGTACTGCATTACTGAAATCAAGCCCGTATGTACCTCGGTGTGACACGCTCCACGACAGTCGTCCACGAACTTCCTCTTACACAAAAAAAATATGACAGATTTTTACGAAATAATAATGTTAGGCAATAATTGCAATTGCTACCAGGAACAATTTAATCCAATGATAATATGTACAATTAAATGTTGCTTTATGTTATTGGGAGCGACAAACTAGATAATCAACGGCACAGTAGGAGTAGTCGTGTTTTGAGATTTGACGGGCCGTACTTTGTGAGCCTGTGTGAAACATAAAATAAAGCACGCACATATAAATACCATATCATAGTTAATTAAAATACAAATTAAGGTAATTTCAAAGACCAAGGAAATATATATAGGATATCCAATTCGTGTACGCGTATTATGTAGTCATTTTCATAACTTGTTCTCAGAAGCGAGGAACATATAAACATTTCTACACGAGATCAATAAATATATTATTACACAGTCATGGATTATGATATAACGAAGTGCACTATGCTCAGACTGTATTAAATATTTTTGATATAACTTTTAATTTAGCGTCTGTTAATGCCGCGATTTGATTTTATGACTCTTTTATTGTACCGTATTTTAAATTGCTATTCCATTTTATGTGATATATACCAACTGGATTGAACGCATCGTTAGACATCACCCCATGTCCCCCCCAAAAAAAGAACGCATTGTCGGACCCCACCCCGTCCCTCCAAAATGAATCATTGTCAGACCCACCCTCCCGGCACCCCCTAAAAAAAAGCATTGTCAGAGCCACCAAATACGCTTCTGTTGTGAGTTTGTCTTTCTTCGTCGATTAACACATATACTAGAAAAAATAAATATGCGAATATAAATCGATCAGAAATACTCGTTCGCCATCACTAATAACACTCGAAATACAGTACCTTTCCAAATGTTGCGGCACAGGCTGGCTCGAGTTTCTCTTTTCTACAGAAATCTAAATAATGTGCATATAATATACAGCGCGGTAGGCATACTCCTTCACACATACAATAATTTTCTTCCAACCTAGTGAATAAAAATACAAAAAATTATCCAAAAGGGTCGATTACATGCCCGGCTTACTCTCTTATTCTCATACAAATACACTTACACCAGTACCAGTAAATGGTTATGGTTGAAACTAGTATATTTGAATGCTAAGAAATGGGGAGATCATTTGACCACAGCTAATAACTAGTTTTTATGTTTGAATTTGATGGGTTTCGTTCAAGCTTTGGAGTTTTCTTAATGCGCCAGCCAATGTTCAAAAATGTGTCTAAAGTTAATGTTAAACGTCGGTACCATCTCGGATCTTCTCCGTGAATGCGTAACCGAGTGAGATACATGACCGAGTTTGACGTTAGTACCATCTCGGTTCTTCTCCGTGAAAGCGTAGACGAGTGAGATACATGACCGAGTTTGACGTTAACATATATTGGACACCCTACGACAAACCTTGAAAAAACTTCACATTGACTGACTGACTGATCAATCGGCAATTTGGACCTATATTTGATCATCTGTCAATCTTTTCTCTCTTAGAATATAAAGAAACGATACACAATGCAATAAATCGAGTTCTACGTACATAACAAAAATACATCTGCTTGACTTTATAAAATCATGTTCTATGAGTGTACAAACTAAAACACGAACAAGCAACTCGATTATGTGTTATCAACATGAATCATTTGGGATCTTTATTTAATTAATTAGCGCGTTTGGTTTTATTTGAATGTGATTAAAACTAGTACAAACACTAACGTTGTCTGTGATTCGCCAATCCTTACTCTTATTGGTCCAGGGATTTGTTTGATACAAGTGCATGGTCGGTCAGCGGCACAACAAAGGATCGGGCGATCGGGTTATGAATTGTTTACTAAGTTAGTTAATCCGAACTAATCTAGCTAATAATCATGTTCAACTACATGACTATCATTCATTCAATAGATACGGTGAAAAAAGCTAAAAATAAAACAGAATTACGATTTTAGTAGCGACACCTACAGTTGACAATGTAAAGGTCAAGTTTCCTTTAAATTGGCGTGCTCGATAGAAAAAAAAAAGAGCCTGTCATCGCCGAGGGACCGTTTTCGCTTCAGAGAAGCAACAGTTCTTTTTTATATATGTTGTTCAACAGGCTAACTAACTTCATTCAATATTTCCTCCTCATAGCATTTCATACTTACCAGCTTAAAGTTAAACCGGTCTGTCGTTTTTTATCTTTCATGATTTGTGCTACAGTCCTCCTCGTCGAGTTCCCGCCGTCGCTTTTTAAATTTGGTTTGATGTCACCTTTCTTGACGCCTTTCACGTAATCTTCGTCATCGTCGGAAAATTCATCCTCGTCCACAGATTCTTCCGTTTCGGGGTCTAGAACAAACATTCGTCAAAATAACGTTTAGTTGTTATTTCGGATCACGTGCTCACATCCCATTCAGACTTGTATAAGGCTTTATCGCAAATCGTTCGCCTAGAGCTCAGATCACTAGAACAATTTTACCCGACACATATATCAACATGTACTGGAGTATTCTTGTTGTTGCAGTTTTGGATTTTTTTTCTCGGTATTCCTTGTTTGTTTAATAAAACGTAAAAGTTACGTGAACATGTTTCAAAGCAAATATGGTTAATGTGAGTTAATATTTGCGTTTCATGAATATAATATTTGAAAAATTTAAATACATTAAAAAAAGCAACAATTAGGGACATGAAACGAAAAGAAAGTCAGAGATATTTAATTAAAACTAAAATACACATATTTAATAAAGAACGCATACTTTATTTGTGACACAAACTAATACTATTTAAGTAACTGTTATGACAATACGGTGAGCGGTTCCAAATGCTATCGTAATCTGAAGTCCGTGGAGACGCACTACAACCGGGACTGTTCTTCTCCCGGCATGTTATAAATAGAATAAATCGTTTTATCCATTAAATTATTCATAACATTGCGTTTTGTTACTTAGAGGTAGACGTGCCCATACAATAGCAATTCACTGTGGTAGCATATGCTGCGCTAGATTTCTGTCTGAAATTTTAAAATCCCAGTAACCAAGCAGAGTACACTCGTCATCTGGTTTGTCACAGATGTCGAATAAATCACATCATAACTTCAACAACAACCGACAATATGTTTTTTAAAGTTAGAAAAGTGATTTTGTTTGCATCGTAATTGCCGTATTGGCTGTCTGTTTAACTGGTGCATTTGGTTTGACAAAAATGTTCATTTCTTTATACGGAATCGTTGAACGCGCACAACCTCTACAATCGTTGAACGCGCACAACGTCTACCCATTCAGGCTATTGCGTCCCCTTTGTGTCAATAAACGCAAACATGCTTTATAATATTTATGAATATTAGAATAACAATTATGATAATATAAAACTAGACTAACAGCTTACGTAGTATACGATATTCCCGCTATCTGTAATGAGTAAACCCGCAGACTAATTATTAGTACGAGGTCCAACTACATCATGCTCTCGATGTAATCCTGAGACATATTTGAAAGCAGATTGCTCTGGCCACAATGTCTATCGACCGTGGTGTGTCGGTCCTTGTAATGATCATCTAACATTTCTAGTACATTAAACCGTGTCATGATTCGACCATGTTACACGTTGGTTTAGAAAAAAAACTCCAAATCACTCGGCAACACAGTGCCAGACGCTCAGACCGACTCCGCCTGCTTGTCGACACCTCTATTCTTACGCGTGACCGGCTCCGCCTGCTTATCAACGCGTGTATTGTGATGCACACTATTTGTTTCATGCTTTATTTAATTATATACTTTTAAAACTACGTTTGTTGATCTTTGGTATTCCCCTGAAATCTGATCGGGATAAATAAAACTTTAGGATAATCTTATCGATTGTAATAATCTTCACATAAGGTGCCGAACTCGGCGGTGTTTGTGGCTTCTTTCTACAGCCGACGGTTACATTGATTTGCAAATAGTCTGCATTCAATCGTAATCCCATTCGTAGGATAAAACAAATGTATAAATCAAATTGGATTCCCTTTGGGCGACCAAAAACACCGTGAGTTTTACTTATCCTAAAATCACATTTTGACAATATAGTACTTATCATTTATTCATATGAGTTGGACACTACTTCCATCGAATATTAATACAAGGTTAAACTCAAAGCGTCGTTTGAGAAAATTATTGAAAATAATATATTTATTAGGTTATTGTCTGGAAAAAATAACAGGCCACATTCCTAATTTGGTCGAAGTATTTGTATTATTGTATCTAATTCGAAGCAAGAAGCAAAACGATTGAGGCTCGAGTCGGATGAACAATGGCGACTATCATTCAAAGCGTTCGTGACAAAGAATGTCTGCCATTGTTTTGGGTGCACGGGTGAAGCTAAACGAAGGAAATTTTGACATCTATGTTTTGTTTATAGGGATGTGTCATTTCTTTATGCGTTCAGTCATATGTAATATTATCGATATGGGTTGAGATTACATACATTCCTTAGCGACACTGAGATAAGTACCAATCCTAGACGACGGTCAAGAGAGATCACGTCTGAAATTACCAAAACGTTTCCACACAACATAGCTACGGGGAAGCCCTCCAACGACAGTTGACCGCCATAACTACAGAACCATCCACTATGTGAAATATATGCCTGTTCTTAGTGTTGCCAACTCCATGACTACAGGGGAACTCTAATGTACGTTAGCTGGACGATGCCATAGTTACACCTGATTCATCGCTGTTATAGCTACTCCTAGACATACGTGGTGTTACTTACTATGCCCTACTACCTGTACACGAGGCAGTTTGTTGTACACCGACACGCGCATTTCTTGTAATAGCATTCTGTTTTTTAGACTAGTCGCCGTCGGACGGCATGGAGATCTCAGGTATCGAGGTGCTACGATAATTTCACACCATAGCTATATATTAAACACATGCGAATAACAACTTCAATTTAGCGACTGTCCCGTTACTTTCGTCCTTGGAGAAACCCAGCTTTCTCAGATGTTAGAAAAAAAAATGGTTTCTAAGCTGACCCTTGTACCGAATATAAAATTCGAGAATTTGACACGGGAATGATTGGACGATCTTGCATAGTTTGCCGGTTTACTAAGTTGCCTACACGTCATAGTTTTAACGTCAAGTAGTTGTCTCGTCCTATTTTCTTTTTTGAAAGTCAGTCATGTTGTTTTCCGAGTTCAATCCAGATTTACTTAGAATGAGGTGGCCCAACGTCTCATTCGTACAACTCAATATAAACCATTAGACACAATATACACACATTGCAGACGTTCACAGTGCAACATGGAATGAAACATTTAACACATAAAGTACATTTATCTGTACTTTACAATTACGAATATTGTGTATATTTTATTTCTAACACTACGCACATAAGCCCTCGGTTTTCGAGCGTCACAGCCAAGAGAACAATACTCAATACATTTCTGACCAATGTGATTGATTGTGAAATATACCTATAATTTAGTTGGGTCATGTTTCAATGTGGGTCACCCAAGTCCAGCGTCGTTGGACTTGACAGATGATTTTATTTATTCATTATTGATATTTTATTTTTCGGTAGTATTGGTTTTATTTCGAGTACGTTTTTTTCAGAAAACCGTTATGCTAACTGTTGATGCAAAATAGTGTATCTCATCAAATGTATCCATTTCTATGACAAGTTAAATATCTCTCAAAGTGTTTCAACTTACCTGATCTGTTTTCTTCGATTTCACGCGGTGATTCCATTCTGGCGCATTTTGGTTTGGGGCCTCGTTTGCTGATTACGCTAACGGTTCGCTTCATCAAGTTGTGCGAGCCGTTTGAGGCATTCACTGCCACGGTGGAATTGTTGTCCATGTCGTGCACCGTACGCGAAATTGTACGCGTGTTTGGCACGGTGCGGGGCATAGTCGTGTTCAAGGACACGCAAATAACAAAATCAATTCAAGAAGAAAATGTCTACACGTCTTTCAGTTCAGGGGAGCGATCTGGGGTCAGCCGCGTGCTGTAGTTCAACAACTCTACGGTGAATTTATAGCTCAATATATGCAAGGAATTTGAAGGATATGAATACTACCCTTATACGCGAAGAACTAGAAATTTCGTTTTTGCCACAGGACCGCCGATTTTAAAGACCTCGGTAGCTTCCGTGAACTTCTACGATAGCGGGGTGGGTGTAAATAAAACCGTCCTCGCAACCGGAATGCTTACGATATATATCGGAAACGTCTGTAAGTCCGTGTTGTTCGCACATGAACACAACAAAGGCAGTCTCTCCAGTCGAAGACCGCGGTGTTGGCTTGTCTACACAGGTGTCTCCCCGTCGAGTACAGAGCAGCTCGTACCCAAGGTGATGTAAGAACAAAGTACGGCTTCACTGGTCAAACAACGTAGCAATCGCACTGTTGAATATGGACACGGACAAGACAAATGCAGCTAATATGAACAGTACCCTTTTTCCACGGGGCAAAAACAAACACCCAATATAAAGTCAACCGCTAGATGACATCACGAGCACAATTCTTATCAGCACACGGCACGTTTAGACCAATCAGATCCAGTTTCGACATAGTAATGAATAACTAGTGTGCACAAGTGGGTAGCCACTTTTGAGTTAATCATTAAACACGTGTATGGATACATTGGTATTGTTGACAGATCGCTTTATCACATTCATGTCATTATACTGACATGCCAAACCCCGGTTTGTACACTATCGCACGTATGATTGTAGCTTTTGACTATAAACATACCGGCAAAGGCGAACACCACACAACTTCAAAAAGAAAACTGCATGAAAAAAAATGGGAAAGTTGAGATCTTGTTTGAGTTGTCTCGGTGTGTATATTGTCAGGAGCCACACAGGGGTGGTATTATATTGGTATTATATTTGTGTTTTGCAAAATGTTATGACTTATTGAGAATAGAATAGAATAGAATAGAATAGAATAGAATAGAATATAATATAATATAATATAATATGAATAGAATAGAATAGAATAGAATAGAATAGAATAGAATAGAATAGAATAGAATAGAATAGAATAGAATAGAATAGAATAGAATAAAATAAAATAAAATAAAATAAAATGATATAAAATAAAATAAAATAGAATAATTTCATTTCGAATAACAGGATTGTCTTGTCTGTGCTTATATGAGTGAAAAATCACCAGTTTGATATAACCGCGTTGTACCGCGTTTTATGTCCTACCTTTGCCAGAGTAACGTTGTATTCCAGTCATCTCTGTGTTTTTTTCTAATCGTGTCGAATCAACCTTAAAGATTAAAATGTTCAACAACATCTGTGAATAGTATACATACTGGCGGGTTGATACTAAATATGTATAACGTTGTTTTATTTTTATCACGGAATGTGCTAACATCTATAATAAAATAAATACAAGTTTTAATTTAATTTTTTCTTCCACCTAACTTGCAGTGAATATATGTATATATATATATATGTCCTTCATTAATAGATTAATTATTGTGTAAGACAAAGTCATGATTCTAAAGTTATTGTTTATATTGTTTTCCTAAGATTGAAACCTTCTCACAATTGTTGTGAAAGTTGGTTATCACTCGTATAACAATAATCATTGGTTTATTATGTATAATTATGGACTTATTGTAAACAGCATTTTGTTTTGTCTTACAGTAACGTACTTTTAGAAAATTTACTAATATTTTTTTTTTAAATTAGAATAGTTTCTTGGCACTGTTTTAATATTTTTTGAAACCCAGATAATTAATTCAAGATAACAAATATAATTCCATCGAGTAACAATATGTAATTTATTCACCCTTTTCAGCGCAAACAATTTGAAATATGGCATAATATCTCCACCATAAAAACCAATGTGACAGTTTTATAATGACGATATTATTCAAATATAACCGCCAATTTTCTCGATAATAGGCTGTTAATCTCAACCCGTTTTTCAGTCTTATACCAGCCGAGAATATACTTTATTATTGCAAAATGAATGAGTTAGATTATAAAAATCCAATGACGGATGTGTTTCTGGTGTGACCATCCCGTGAGTGTTCGTGTGTGACGTTTCTTGAGTATTCTGGGGTGACGTTTCTTGCGTGTTCTGGGGTGACCATTTCATTAGTGATCTGGTGTGGTCATTTCGTGAGTTTTCAAGTTTTGGGGTGACGTTTCTTGAGTGTTCTGGGGTGACGTTTCTTGAGTGTTCTGGGGTGACGTTTTTTGAGTGTTCTGGGGTGACGTTTCTTGCGTGTTCTGGGGTTACCATTTCATTAGTGTTCTGGTTTGGTCATATCGTGAGTGTTCTGAGGTGACGTTTATTGCGTGTTCTGGTTTGGTCATATCGTGAGTGTTCTGAGGTGACGTTTATTGCGTGTTCTGGTTTGGTCATATCGTGAGTGTTCTGAGGTGACGTTTATTGCGTGTTCTGGCTTGGTCATATCGTGAGTGTTCTGAGGTGACGTTTATTGCGTGTTCTGGCTTGGTCATATCGTGAGTGTTCTGAGGTGACGTTTATTGCGTGTTCTGGGGTGACCATTTCATTAGTGTTCTAGAGTGGTCATATCGTGAGTGTTCTGGGGTGACGTTTCTTGCGTGTTCTGGGGTGACCATTTCATTAGTGTTCTGGTGTGGTCATATCGTGAGTGTTCTGAGGTGACGTTTATTGCGTGTTCTGGGGTGACCATTTCACGAGTGTCCATAACAGTCATGAAATGAGGTGTTCGTTTTTCTCATGCTCGGTGACTTTTCACCAAAATGTGCTGGGAGGATCATTTCTCACGTTTTCTGGGTGGAATTTCTTGAGTGCCGTCTGGAATAACCATTTCATTAATATTCTAGGCGATGGGTCGACAATTCTCGCGTATTCCGGGTTGACATCCCCCTGTTTTCAATAATGACATTTCAAGGATGTTCTAGGATGACAATTTTTCTGAGTTCTTGTCGAGACATATCTTGCGTGTTCTGAGATGGAATTTCTATTATGCTCTGGGTGGTATTTCTCCCGTTTATCGAATTGACGACATTTCTCTGGGCAATCTGGGCGATCATATATCGCATATTTGTTGACATCATAGAGAATATTTATTTCTAGTTTCCGCCATGTTATATTTTTTTCAAATAATTTTGATATTACGACTAGTTTTAATATTACGACTAGTTTTAATAATTCTAAATCATCATATATTCATTCCACAACTCTTCTAAAATTTAGTCATTTTTGATTTAATTTGTGTCATTAAATTTGTTAACAGAAATGACTAAAATATCATCACAAAGACTAACGACCGACACAAGAAGAGCTATGAACCCACGCCTAATTCATTACATGAAGAAGAGACCAACATTCTAAAAATGGTCTTAGTATGAAGGAAATAATGACGTTTTAGTTGTAATATCTCAAAAAATCTTCTCTTTTGTTATTGTGTAGGATATCTTTGCAGACTAATTGTCGCGTATATGCCCTTATTAGACTATCCTGAAGTTCCTGTTAATTTGCGTCATCACCAATGCAGCTGTTGGCCCGGGCTACGCACCACGATTTTGCCACCTGCTGTTCTTTTGTTTTTATACATCATAACACGAGAGGGCGAATAAATGCTTTGTGTCAGAAAACAGTCATCATTTTGTTAAGAATAATTTTTGTTCAATTGTTCCAATTGAAAATAATCATTTAATATCTTCGAGCACAAGTTCTCGATTGCGAAGCTGTGAGTGTTCAGTGGGCTGTTTTCAGTATATCTGGGAGAGGCATACATGTTCGGGTATTGATAACTCGTGTTGGTGCCGTGTTCCTGACTACAGCCGGCCTATGTGTGTTGGCGGGAAGACGAAACAGTTATAAATTAAATAAATAACACTACGATAAAGACTTTCCGATCTTAACATTGTGAATATTTTCGTTTTTTATGGAGAAAAATACAGTAATTTTACTTATTAAAATTATATTTATTAAAGCGGAAGGGTC